ATCCTTAAAGGAATACAGGCACCTTCTCAATGGTCACCGGTGAGAAGAAAAGAAAGAGACAGAGACAAATACATAGATGAGAAAGCAAAGAGAAATAAAACCTAGTAGTGATTTCCTGCAGTTACATTGGGGCTACCAAGTCCTTTCAGAATTGGGAAGTAGTGGCTAGTATTTTCAAACTAAGAAATATGTACCAAAGTCTTAACTTTGCTTTGGAAATTTGACGGCTTTATAGGAATAATGAAATGCTTTACTTTTCAGAAATTCATTTTGGAGCTATAAGGCAGCCTATCTATCAATTTATATCGTTATAAGCTTAAAAGTCATTGAAGTTCAAAAGCTGTTCGGCTCATCTCAAAGCTTTGGGATGATAAAGTTGCTCCATTCCACTGTATCTGTGACTAGCTTGGAAATAGTTTTCGGTACTTAGTATGTTTAGAATTTAAGCTGAAAGGACTCCAAAGAGATCACCAGTCTAATTTCCTTTTCACAGTAGTGGCAGAGACACCCACTGCTTGCTCAGTGTCACTCACTGGGCTAGTGGTCAGTGGCAGACCCAGAACTAGGTCTCCTATCTACTGGCTTCTCCAGATCCCAGCTCCTTGCCCCACACCACAGCTGTATTTCCCAAAGGAAGAGCCCATAATAACCACCTCATCCAATCTGCTTTGCTTGTCTTAAAATGTAACACTGTACATATGGTGTTCTATCAGAAAAGGTACTCAATCACCATATCATTCCCCACTCAGAAAACTTCTCGTGGTTCTGCATGCTGAAAGAACAGAGGGTAAGCAGTGTTTGTCTGGGAGTCAAGACCCTCAGGCTCCAACCTGCCTTTCTGGCTCCATCCCTGTCTCCAATGCACAACTTATACTAAATGACTCACAGGGTCCTCTATATACCCCATGCTTTCCCAGGGTCTCCCTGCCCACCCCATCTGTGTCTTCTGAACATCCTCCAAAGGCCACCACAAATGGCAGCTCCTCTATGAAATCTTCAGTGATCTTTCCAGGTTTTAGGATTCAGTTCCACAGCTCTGGGAAACCTTCCTCAACTCAAGAGCATGTACATTCTGCCCTGTATCACCACTATCTGTGGGCCTGCCTGCACTCTAGCTGTAAACTCTCTTGGGGTAGAGAGGGTATCTTACTCATTCACCACTGTACCTACTGTAACACATGGTATTTGCACAGAAGGATACTCAGTGGATATTTACTGAAGTTATTTTATTACTCCAGAGGCATATGAGGACAGAAAATATACTCTACTACAAAGTTAAATAAAGCTATATTAACAACTCAGGTATTTTTTGTAATGTTTTTCCAACTTGAATTTCCTTGGCTTGTTTCTCAATTCAGATAACATGGAAAGAGGCCACTTAAAATGCCCTCTCTTACCAAGTTTCAAACTATTAGCTCTACAAGGGCAGAGACCATGCACACTTGATTCACTGTTGCATCCACAGCATGAAGCAATGTACCTGAGACATTCTAGACCCTTTAAAAAAGATTTGATGAATCAAAGAACGAACTATCTTATATCATTCTGTAGTTTACACATGTGTAGAGTGCTTCCCATGTGAACTGAATTCACATGCATGGTTTCTCTTGGATTGACTTGTAATCCTTTTTGTGTATAATAGGTCTGAGAACTTATACATGGCCATTTCTGTCTTTCCCTCTGTGCTGTCCTATAAATGTCCCAAAAAGTCAGGAGAGAAGACTGGGGCATAATCAATTAGGGGGGAAATAAGGCTGCACATACAACATTTCAGTACATCCTCTAAGTGGTGCAAACACTTAAACTCTCATATAACTCCAGGAACCAGGTACTAACAAAAGTATTGCCTGACTTAGCCCTTATATCTCTTAGGGTCCACAGATAGATGAGGATAAAAACCAACTTAAGGTAATAATATACTGCATTGTGTCTACAGGTAGGCACAAACTAAAATTTAGAGATGAAAGTGGCCATAAATACCATCTAGTCCAGTATCTTTCTTTTTTTTTTTTTTCCTTTTTGTCTTTTTTACTGACTGGTAACGGGATCGCAACCCTCGGTGTCGCGCCCGTACCGGGGACCAGCAACGGGATCACAACCCTCGGTGTCGCGCCCGTACCGGGGACCAGCAACGTGATCGCAACCCTCGGTGTTGCGCCCGCACCGCGCTCAGCCAGTGAGCAGGAACCGGTCTCCACATGGGATCCGAACCCTCGGCGGGAGCGCCGCCACGCTCCCAGGCGGCACACTCTCCAGTGCACCACTGGGCCGGCCCAAGTCCAGTATCTTTCAAACTGGACTCCCTGGCATCCCCTCAGGGCCTGAGGGTAACAGTAAAGCCTCTTCCTTTCAACAAACTGCTTGGCTCTTATTTATTCAGATTCGAAAAAAGGGCATTCCTGCTTTTAAATAAAAGTTTGGAAATTACGAATGTATACTATTATGTAAAAAAAAAAAAAAAGCTAAGCAGAGAGCTGTCAAGCTGAACTAGGAGTGGAATCCTGGAGTTCTAGAATCAGCTTTTTGAAGACAATCCTGATCGTGGCTGAGACGGACACATGGAAACCACCATTTCAACGGTTCCCCTTACTATATACAAAGGAGGAAGCAGACCAGAAGTTAAGAGGTCTGCCCTGGGCACAAGGCAGGCTGATAGCAGGGGCTGAGACTAAGCCTTACGGTCCTGCTGCCTACCCAGCACTCATTCCTCCTCTCATGATCTCCTCCCCCTACCCTGCAAAACATCCACGCATGTGCATTACCTGCCTTGTACCTGGAATACTAAGTTGCAACCATAGGAGTCCAGATGACAGGGTGTATGGGCTCCCAGGGAGCCGATCCACAACGTACTTTCTTGTCCATTTCTTCCAGGAAACCCAAAGTCAGACCATCTCACATCCTATTTTGAAATAAAGTTACAATCCATCAAGAACCAACCCACTCCTCTGTATGCTAGAGTTGCACATTTTCACTTGCACATCTGTTTTCTGGCACTTGGAATATTTTCTTATACAAAATGCTACAGACGGAGGAGGTTAGGTTTCCAGGCAATTCAAGAAATCTT